AGTGACTGATGCGACAGAGGAGAGGAGGAGATGTGAACGTAAGGTATGGATGAAGGACGAAGGAAAGCTGCGGGAATTAGGGCTGGCTGATGGGTAAGTCGCCAGCTTTGAGCCGCATGGAAGCCAGATGTGAGGGAGCTAGCTCCAAGGCTAAGACCATCTGTGCTGGAGTAAGCCTGCCGCCATCCACATCCGGCTCTGCCTCTTGCAGGCCGAGACCCAGGCAAGTTACTATCTCCACTAAGCCTCACTTTTCCCGTCTGTGAAATGGGGATGACAATAACATCTATCTTTTGGGGTCATTGTGACGATCATGTGCAATAGGCATACTTTAACCAGCTAATTCATGAAGCTCTTAGCACACTACCTCCCTCCTCCCCCGGGAAGAGCTGGGTGCACCTTAGCTAGAAGGGGCACGTGGGAAGCACCCTGATAGTCCTGGTCCCGGCTGGCCAGCCAAGGAGGCAAGGAGGGCCGCTCGCTACACAGGTGATTGCTGACGTCACCATGCTTTCCACTGCTGGCAGCTAACTTCATGTGAAAGGTGTCTGCCCTTCGTCTGCTCCTTCTAAGCCTGAGGTGTGGAGCTCCTGCCTCGGAGCCCCCTCCCTTCAGACCTCCCCTGGCAGTCCCTGGACCCCCTCCAGGCTCTGTCCTCCAGCCTCTCCTGGCTAAAAACCCAGACTTCCCACAGCATTTCCCAACTCCATCTCATTATTGCATGCGCTGGAGGACTGCCAGTGGAGCCTCGGGCTAGGTGGGGAAGCTTAGAGGGAGCAGCCGGGCACCCAGTGGGCTGGTGGGCTCCCCATGAGCCTTCCCTGCCCAGCCTCTTCCACTTCCACTGCTGGAGGACTTCCTCATTGGTGCGCAGTGGGACACTGGCCCTCCTGCTTTGTTTGGCTCCCATATGGGGTGCAAGATGGCGGGGGGGAGTGTGGAAGGGCTTTCCAACGTGGAGGGGACTGCACCCATTCAAGAACTGCTGTGCGCATGGTGTGTACTGAGATCCCACCTGGGGAACCACGTGGGAGGGAGGAAGTCCCTTCCTCTAGGGCAGCTGGTTCCTCTAGCTCTGGGTCTTCCTGGCCTCTCAGATACTGGCCCCTGTTTTCTATTCTCCCAGCCCCCTGTGGGTGAGTTTAAAGTCCCTGGCTCCTGAGATGGGTCCTCCACTCCTTTCTGAGGTGTGTCCCCCACCCTAATCCCTTCTCCTTTTCCCCCATCCCCAGCTGACCTCCCTAGAGAGAACACAGTCTCAGATGGGAGCTGCCTTTCAGTGGGAGGGCCTTGGGGCAAAAATTGTAGCATCAGGTAGTGGTGAGGCTCCCGTCCCTATTCTAGAGACCCTTCCCTTACCTCACTGTCCCCAAGGACGGAGAACGGTGCTCCCTTTCTTTGTTCCAGGCAGGATGCTGGGGTTGATAACCAGGAAGCTCAGGCCTGAGCTGGGTATCAGGAGGGCAGAGAGCCCTGCGTTGTTGGGCGGGGGGTGGGGATGCAGAGGGAGAGAGATTAAGGCACAGAGCTAGCTAGCTAGCTATGTGATCTACTGACATATTTTCCAAGGGTGTAGTTCCACACAGGGTGCAGGGAGAGTGTACAAGTGTGTTTGTGAGTGCATACGTACATGTGTGTATATGCATCTTGGTGTGTACAAGAGTCAATCCTTGTATGCTTGTGTCTATCCCCGCACATGGGAGTGTCTATCTATAAATACGCAAAACTGTACGAGTCCGTGTGCCTCTGTGTGCTGAGCACACTTTAAATACCTCTGTAGGGGCGCCTGGGTGGCTCAGTGGGTTAAAGCCTCTGCCCTCGGCTCAGGTCATGATCTCAGGGTCCTGGGATCGAGCCCCGCGTCGGGCTCTCTGCCTACTTGTGATCTCTGTCTGTCAAATGAATAAATAAAATCTTAAAAAAAAAAAAGTAGGGATAAAAAAACAAACAAACCTCTGTATATTTATGGATACACCTGGGTGTTGTGTACGCCCATATAGCTTTGCCCCCCAACACTCCTGGACCTGTGTGTGCCTGTACATGTGTGTACCAGTGGGTTTGTGAGTGTGCGTATGTGTGTGTGTGTGTGGCACACACGTGTACAGGTCTATGTCTGTGTGTGCATGTGTGTATCGGTCCAGGCATGTGATGGTCTGCAGAGTTTCAGGAACAAAAAGAATAATATTCTCAGATGGGCTTTGCTGCTAAAGGGGCCAGAGTCAATGGAACAGGATAGGAATGGGGACCCCCAGGGAAAGGAGGTAGTAACAAAGCAGGAGACGAGTCCCTGAACACGGGCAGGCCCCTGGCAGCCGGATGACAGGCGTGGGTACTGACTGTCACCTCTGCCGGGCCCAGGGACTGCCTCTAGGTACAGAGGCCTCTCCTCAGGAGAGGGGTCTGTCCATCTGCCTTGGTTGGACACTGAGCCAGGAAGCCCCTAATCACAGCATGTTGGTCTTCCCAGGGACAAAGAAAGAGGGCTGCCTGGAGGTCAGGCCCCCCCACCCCCTCCCTTCCTTGCATACTTTAGCAAGCTAATTCTTGATGTTCTGCTTCTAGAAGAACAGCGGAATCGGCTGTGGGTAGGGGGAGGAGGGTTGGTAAGGGAAGATCCGAAGAAGGAGCTCTGGGACCAGTATTTTGGCTTTTATCAGCTTCCCCTTCTCTCCTGGGTGGGGAACGAGCTGCAGTCGACACCAGTAGCCTGTCTGGCTCTAGGCAGTATAGACGGTAGCCCAGTAGACACAGGAGATGGGGGTGGAAAGGGGCTCAGACCCCGCCAGACTGAGGCTCGCTGGAGGCAAGACGAGGGAGATAAGCTATCGCTCAAGTGTGCAGCATGTTGGTCACTGCGCCTGAACTTCAACCATTAGGCATTTATATCTTTGGCTGTTTAAGGCCTTTCAGTCTTGAATAGCCCTTGATTAAAAGGCAATCCTCTTGGGAGAAGAAACTCCTGAGGGTGTTCTCTATTCAAACCCCTGGGAGGTTGATGGGTCGCTCGAGGAGAATAAGGTTTTGTGCGAAGGAACACACAAGGGAAGGGTGTAGCTATCCGTGGCTGTGGGCTGGATGGGTTGTGGGCAAGAGGGGGATAATGGGGCAGAGGGTGCCGTGTGCACCGTTTCCTCTTGCTGAGGACCCAGGAGGACTGTCTCCCAGTCTTCCTTGTGGCTGCAGCCTGGCCAGTGCAGTGGGGTTGGACGTGCTGTAAGCTCTTCGGGGCCTGAACTTCCTGGGGTCTGCAAGCCTCGCATCCCCCTTTCCCTGCCCTGTGACCTGGCCTCCATGTGTCTCGGATGACATCGCCACCAGGTGGAGGGAGGGGGCTGTCTGACCCACTCTGGGACATGAGACCGTGAGATTCTGCAGATTTCTTGGTACTGCTGCCTAGACACTTGGTTTAGCTCAACACATCCAGAAGAGAAGGGGCCCACGGGGGTCCTGGTTTTTCTCAGACAGCCGTGGCCTAGAAGTCAAGAAAGTCGACTCCGGAGCCATAAAGCCTGGGGCTGGGGGCCCAGCTGTGCCGGCTCAGTCTCTCCCCCTTACCAAGCCACAGGCCCCTGCTATTAAAGGAGGGTCACAGTAGACCCCCCTGTCGCGCACCCAGCCCAATGCTCAGCCGTGGTGAGTTATCTCTAAATGCTAGCTTTTATGCTGAGTAATTACAGACACAACGACTGCTGGGAGTGAGTGTGCGCTCCGGTTCAAACTTCCGTGGATTCCAGTTTTCTCTTTCTGTCCAGCAGGATTAGTGACAAGCCCCGGCAAGCCCAGCAGGGCTGGCGTGTGGTCAGGTTGGGGACCGTGCCCAGTCCGCCACGATGCAGCAGGGCCCAGCCAATCTGGCACCCAGAGGCTGTGGCTCAGGCTCCTGTGGCTCGCACGGCAGGCTCGCTGTCCGGAGTTCACACACTTGCTGGCGGGCCAGGCGGAGTGGCTGCCCCAGGCGCGGGAGGACCACACCCGTCCAGAGGAAGAGGACACGGTTGCCTCGGTCTCCTCTGCAGGGAGCACGCCTGCGACTCCTGCTGGGATGCCTGTGGGTCTCGCGGGTGCAGAACGAGGCCTCCACTGACGTCTCTGCTGGTCAGATCTCTGGACATTGCCTGATGCCCGAGGCCACCCCGGGGAAGAGCGATCCCACCAGCCTGAGGATGCGGTGGGGGCGAAGGCCGAGCAGGGAAGGGGTGACGGGCCTCCCGTCATGGAATCTGACCTCTTCTTCCCCGGAGGGGGGAATCACTGGGGTCAGGCCTTTGCAAGTGTCCACTGCTCCCAAAGTAGTCCCTTCCAAATGACTCCCAAAGCTGCCCCTGCCCCTCCCTGCCATCTCCCTGCACCTTCTGCAGAGGGAGCAGCCCTCCACCTCCTGGCACGTCCTTGCAGCTCAGGCCACATGGTCATGCCTGCACTCCAACTTTTCCAGAGGTGATGGACTGTGGGGCTAATGAAACTCGTCCTTCAGGGCCGCCCTCATGCATGAGCCCCTTCTAATACCTAATTTTGTATTATTTTGAGATGATGCCCCAAACTATATGCTTCAGGCTTCCGAAGAACTGGGTCTGCTCCTGAGCTCTGCCTCTCACAGGGGAGAGCCCAGCAAGGGGAGGGGGCGCCAGGCTGACAGAGGTGTGAGTGGACTAGAGGATCCCCCAGTGGCCTCTCTGGCCCCTTGTTCTTGCCAAGACACCTGGGTTCTCATTTGGCCACTAACTGTGTGACCCAAGTCATTTCCCCTCTCTGCCTCAGTCTGCTCATCTGTAAACAGGGGAGAGGGACAAGAGAGCTTCTAGCCTTTGAAGGCTGACTGCCTATTAGAACCCTGTGGGGGGGCAGCCTAGCTGGCCGCTGCTCCCAGGGCCTCGGGCCTCCCTGGAGCCTGTTCACCAGCGTCATAAAGGAGCATGGCCCGCTGAGACAAGGGCCTGGGTCAGGGGAATCATGCCCCACTCTGTGGGGGGCCTAATTCCACTGCTGGGGGGGGTGTCCCGATGTGTGGGATTATGTGGGGGTCCCAGAGAGAGACCCATGGCTGGGTACAGAGCTAAGTCATGCCTCCTGTTTCCTTCTGAACTGGGGATCCACCCAAGTCAGGTCCACCCGCATCCCTGTCTCACTGGTCTTCCCTACACCAGGGCCTGAGTTCCTGCTGAAAGCATGGGGCTCACTCTTCATTAAAAGAAACCTAATCCTGGTCACCATGGGGGAGGCTGAAGCAGCAGGGGCGGCCACCCCCTGGGAGCTCACCCTTCTCTTGTGGGGTGTGGGTGATGGAGTTCGATCTGGGTTCAAATCCCAGTCCTCTTGCTTCTTGGCTGTGTGGACTTGGGCAAATGACTCAGTCTCTCGGGGCCTCAGTGCACCTTCAAAACAGGGAAACTAATAACTACCTCATAGGATGACTCTAAGGGTTAAATGAGATAATGTGTGTGACGCTGCCCGGCATTTGGCAATGCCTTGCGGCCACTTGCTATTACTATTATGCTCTCTACTCTTCAGAAGGGGGACAACTCAGGGGCTGCTGCCCTGGGGGTCCTGGGAGGCAGACAGGGGCAAGGCAAAGGGTGAAGGGAGATGGAGGTCTTAGCAGGGGGTACTACCTCTCTGCCAGAACACTGGGAGGCCCAGACCCCTGGGTCCAGCATGGCTTCCTGGGGTGAGCAGCAGAAATGAAAGCCCCTCCCCTGTCCATCCCTCCTTGCCCAGGTGGGGTGCCCTATCGGGAGGCCTGGAGCCCATGGATGAGCTTGGGGCCCTGGCAGAGGCCTTAGTGGCCAATGGAGTAGGCCCCCGAATCTGTGGACTGCTTCTCCTCGGTGGTCTGGTCGCTGGAGCACTCTGGGTTGGCCGAGGCCGTGACCTTCAGCGTCATCTCGTCCACCTGCAGGCAAAGGGCTGGTGTTATCGTGCTCTAGCTGTGGGCAAGACTCCCCCTGCCATGGGACGCCGCTTGGCAGAAGCGGCAGTGGAGGCTCAGGGCCCCATTATCAGGGAGCTCCAGCAAGACTGTGTGATGCCAGCAGTCTGAACAACCACGAACCTCATGGGCCAACCGAAACCTGAGCTAACCCATGGCAGAATTTGTCCTGCCCCAGAAATGGAGAGGGGACAGTGAGTGGATCGGGCCGTCAGCAGTGATGACCCACAGACCGCCCCGCAGAGCCCATTCTTGGCCAACTCCCTCTCCTTGGGACCCCCAGTTTGCGCTGAGGCCTCATGAATCCCCTTAAGAAGCCCCCAGAAGGGGGAGCCACTGAGAGTCCCTGGGGTCTAGGGGTGCCCAGCTAGTCCCTGCACTGTCTCTCTACCTCTCATGCCTCCCCACCCCTCCCCTCCAGCTCACCTCCTCAAACTTCTTGGCTTTGTACTGGTCGGCCCCCTTGAGGAAGTTGAGCAGGATGATGTCACAGAGCACAGTCCCCTGGAGGAGAGGCAGGGCGGGCTCAGTGTGGCAGGAAGCACAGGCAGTTGGGCAGTGGGGAGGACTGCCCTCAGGCAGACAGCAGGCCAAGGGTTGGGCGAGTCCTCCAAAGACACCTGACTGATGTTTCCACTTGGAAAAACGTCCCGGGGCTTTGCAGGATGCCTCCATCACCCACCTCTCAGCTCTTGGCAGTGACCGCAGACCAAGATGCAGAGAGAGGACTTGGTGGGAGAAGCAGAGGGTGAGGGAGTAGAAGTCCCTGGGAGCAGGGCTCAGTTCCTTTGGTCTGTGGAACCCTGGAGTCTCCTCCTTCACCTTCATGGTGGGGGAGCAGGAACTTGGTACCAGGTGGAAACTCCCGCAGTTGGGGAGGCTGCTGCAGGAGGTAGTGAGCTCTCTGTGACTGGAGGTGTTCCAGCAGGGAGGCGATGAGGGAGATTGAGGCACCTGGCCAGAGGCTGGACTTTCCATTCCAGGCAGAAGCAGGGCATCATACCTGGGCCACTCCCCCACCCCGACCCCCACCTGGAGCCCCACCTTGATGGGCCTCCTGTGTGAGGCTAAAGGGGCTGAACTCACCACTCCCACGGAGGTGAAGGCGGCCACAGAGCTGATGATGGTGGGGATGATGTTAAACTTGCCAGCCTGCAAGCAAAAAGACCAAAGCGGGTGGGCAGAGAGCCCAGCACGAGGTCCTGAGGCTTGAGGCTGAAGGAGGACTCCCAGCCAGAGAGATGGTGGAGCAGAGGGCTCTTGGTCGACCAGGAGGCTCCAACCCTTGACCGTAGCAGTGAAGAGACTACAGATGTGACTCACGGATGCTCTCAGAGCTGGTCAGTGGCAGGACCCTGCCCCCCCACCCCGGGAGGAGGCTCTTGAGGGCCCAAGACTGGTCTGGGTTTCCTTCCCTGTCCTCCCCCCATCTGCCCGGCGCAAGGACTCACATTCCCGTACACCAGCACGTCAAAGCGGATGCCGAAAGCCTTGAGGAGTGTGCGGTACTCACTGCCATTCTCCATCTTGTAGTACTTGGCAAACCTGGAAACCAGAGGTGGAACGTGGGTCCCACTGTGGGCTCCTCCCTGAAGCGTCGGGGTCCTCTGGAGCCTACAGCTCTCACTCACTGAGCATCTCACCAGTGGTTTGCTGGACACCAGCCACGGTCCTCCCTGTGTGGTTAGCTGACCCTCTGTGTAGTCATCCTGGGGCCTTGATACCAAGGCAGCTTCCCAGCCCCACCTGCATCTCTGTGCCTGGGGCCCAGGACTCTGCCTTTTAAGTAATTTCCCTAGATGATTCTAGTGTGTACAAAAGTCTGAGTCTTGCTGGACTCCAGGCTTCTTCGGTTTTATTTGTTTGGGTATCCCTGGGCTTTACTCACTGCAGATGGTCCCCTCCCCACAGGCTTGTCAGCATACTTGGGTTCAAAGCCTGGCTCTGCCACTTACCAGTTGTGCAACCTTGGGCCAGTAACTAAACCTCTCTGAGATTCAGTTTCCGCTTTTATGACTGGGAATAATATGGAAGTCCTGCTTCACAGGGGTGCTGTGAGAATTGAGTGAAAGCACACACCCCAGGGGTCTAGAACAGTGCCTGGAACACAGTAAGCACTCAGGGAATGCTTACTGCTGTTGGCTGTTATTATTGTTGAAGAAATACATTTATAGAGCGGTTTTTAAAAGCCTTGCGGGATAGGGATGTGATTGCTCTATTTTTCAAGCGAGGCTCTGAGGAGGTTAAGAGACTAGTCCAGGGTCACCCAGGGGCTGAGACTAATGCTAGAGTTGCCCAAGATTGTATCCTCTACCCCTTCTCTGGCTGGACTGCTGGGTGCCAGGAGCCGTGCGGGGGACAGGTAAGAATGATCATCTTCAAAGTGGGGGCATGAGCACCTCACTGTGAAGATGTCCGGGGAAGGGGTGGCGAAGGGACTGCCTGTGGCTTCACAAGTGCTAGGAGTGCAAATGGTGTCTGCCTGAAGCCAGTGCACGCCCCTTATGGCCCCGCCCATCATAGGCAAAACTCTAGACTAATCATCGAAGTGTAATGTCTTGGGACTACAATGGACCCGCAGCGGCGACACAGGCTCCTGACGCCAGGATCCCAGAAGCACGGCAAGGGTTAAGTGAGACGATGGAGTGAAAGGGCTCGGAAAGCCCCATAACTCTGTGGGGTTGACATGGCTCTTATTTGGTGCCAGCTGTCTCCCCTTCAGTGTTTCCGATGATGCCTGGATTCCCAGGCCTCTCCCACAGAGAGAGGAGTCTCCTTCCCCGCAGGTGTCCGTGACTGTGACAGCCCTCCCAGGGCTATTTGCATTCGGGCAGGGAGAGGGAAATGCTCGGCTCAAGGGCACAGACAGCAGAGGGGTCACAGGCATGGGAGCAAGGTCATTTTGGAGAAGAGTCATCGAAACTCATACAGTGTCAGCCACTGTCTGCTCTGGCTGAGCAGAACTCTGCAGCAAGGAAGAAAGGAGTCTAAATCCTGGTTCCACCCCTTTCATGTGACTCAGAACAGTATCACTGTTCATGTCCATGACATGGGGGTACTCATGCACCCCTCAGTGGGTCTGTTAGTGAGAGGGGTAAACACCAAGACCCACCCTTTAAGACAGGCACTGTCGCGATCCTGGTATTCTGGCTGTCCCTTCACACCCATTCTCTGCTTGCCCTTCTGTGCAGATCCTGCCTCCATCAAGCTCCCTGCCCTCCGGTTCCTGGTGGGCTCCGCAGTGGGAGGCATCCACAGGCCATCGGAGGGTCGGAACAGAAGAAGACTTTAACAGGGTCAGGAAGGAGTCGGGCTGCATGTTTCCTGACTGCCTGTGCCTGGGCATGGCTGGAGCATGTGTGCCCACACGGTGCACCTGCTGTCCCGGGCTGAAGAGTAAGCCTGAAAGCTAGTCAGTGAGGTAAAGTGTCCCCCCGGGGTGCCCGACCTGGGAAGGTGTGTCCTGTAGACAGTGCAGCCAAAGAGGGAGGTAGAGAAGGCAGGATGATCTTCTTGAGACCGAGTCCCAGAGTAAAAATGGGTCCCAGGAAGAAGACCGAAGGAAGCCCAACTACCTAAGCCAAAGAACCAAAGAGCTGGAGGACAAGTGGAGAGGCGAGGGGCTGGGCCAACTTTAAAGCTGTGGTAGGTTATGGTCTGGGTGGCAGCAGCAGAGGGCTTCCCAGGCCCAGCAGAATGGAGTGGGTCCAGCTGTACCAGCAGGGGACCCATTCTACAGGTGGGGAGAGGGAGGAGAAGGTAACTGGCCAGAGCTGGATTCCAGGCTCTGCTCTTAACCCTGAACGCTGCCTCTGAGCTCCGGGTGGCTGGAAAGGAGCCAGATCTCCAAGTCCTTCTGTATTCTGCGTTCTGTTCACGTCACTGGAGAACTCAGGTTCCCTGCCTGGGAGATGTGGCACCCGATGTCCTCGGGGACCGGGAGGGTCGGGGGTGGTGGTGAGACGGTCACAGGTGTTTGGGGCAGGGCAGGGGCTAGGACTGTGCTCCCGAAGTCTGCATTCCAGCCTGGGGCTGCAGCCGTGAAGAATGCTCTCACAGCGACTCAGAGAACAAAAAGTCAGCACCCTGGGCACTGTGTTCAAAGCGAAGGCTGGCTAAATTTATCTTGGGGAGGAATGTGAAGGAACAGGGAGAAAAACCAAAGCGGACTTGGTTTTTCTCCAGCACCTGCCTTCCAAGAGGCAATAAGTATGATAAGATCATTATCTCACCAACCACCCACCCTCACAGGAGGGTTGGCAGGGACTGGTTCTCCTCCTGGGAGGGAGAAAGGAGGAAGAACAGTGCTCAGGGAGGGAAGGCACACACTGAGCACCTACTATGTGCCCAGCACTGTACCAAGTGCTTTTTAACCCTTACCATCTCTTTTAAGACCCAGCCCCAAGGAGTTGAATTCTGTTGTTCTTCCCATTCCACAGATGGGGAAGCAGGATAGCACAGATTAAGCAATTTGTCTAAGGTCTGCAAACCCAACAGTCAGTTCCGAACCTGGGATTCAAATTCAGGGAGTCCAGTGCCAGAGTTCACACTGTGAGCCAGCATTCTAGTCTGTTTTTTGTTGCCTGATTTCTGTTAGGTTGTGGCTGATTTCTTTCAGTTCTCCAGCTGGGATCCCTTTTGGATTGGCAAGGCGGGTCTCGACGCCTAGTGTCCTTGGCTCAGAGGAGAACATTAGAGCCATGGAGTGTGGGAAGGATCCCCCAGCCTCCTCCTCTGAAAAGGGCATGGGCAGAAGGACAACCTGGCCAGCCCTGACTTCTCCCAAATCCCCTGATTCCTACCTCTCCAGCTTTGGTTTTCTTGGCTGAGAAACATGGTTGGTGATAACGACACCACCGACACCCAGACCGGCCCAGTCCCCCTTCCTTGCCTATTGGCAAGGAGTGCCAGCCACACCACACCGGCTGCTTTCTCGGGTTTCCTGAACACACCCTACAGACACGGACTTCTTGCCTGGGCCCATGTTGCTCCCCTCTCCTTCCCTTCCTGCCTTGAAAACTCCTACTCATCCACTAGGGCCCAGCAGGTACTCAGAGCACACCTACCCTATGCCAGGCACTGTGCTAGACCCCACTGATACCCTGGCAAGGTCTGCTCTCATCTGAGGGAAAGAAATATTAATAACAACACACCCCCATAATAGCTAAAGTCTGACGTCAGGGCCGGAGAGGACAGAGCACCATTCGAAGAACACATGTACTGAAGACCGTCTGACCGAGGCTGTGAGCCAAGGAAGGCTTCCTGTAAAAGCGCCGTTGGAACTGAGGCCTGAGGGATGGAGGGTTGAAAGGTGCGAAGGCCAGAGGTGGGGGCTGCTTTCCAGGCTGCAGGGCCCACGCGCCCTGTCCTGGGAAAGGACATGGTGTCCCTAAAGAAGCTGCAGGAGCTTGGTGGGCTGGAGGACGGGGACGGGTGGAGAAGGCTGGGTCCACCTGCTCGGGGCGGTAGAGACACTGCCCGCATCGCATCCCAGTTCTACATTCTGCGACCTCACTCCTGTAGCTTGAAATTGACCTGGGGGGTGTATTTACACCACAGAAATGGGCAAACAGGGTGAATCAGGTGTTTCCTTTGTTTCCTTTTTCTTCAGAGCCCTTTATCAGTGTGGGCGGAGGCTGTGGAATCCTGTGTTACCTTTCTGGCCCCTGCAGGACCCAGGCCTCTCGCTCGGTACCTGCAGCAGACTGCACTCCACAGTTTGCACCACTGACCCGTGCTCCAGATCTCACTGCCTTTGCCCGAGGGCCTCCCTGGGGCAGTAACGGGCAGGGTAACTGCTTTCTGAAGGCAGCAGTGGATTCCTGACATCTCCCAGAATGAGTTTAGCACCAACACTGGCCTCCGGGTTTCCTCCTTCTCCAAATTCTCCCATTCTTCAGGTGGAGCCGGTGTAAGGTGGAAGCATCAGGCAGAAAACATTCCGATCGATCGGCAGGTGGCTGGATGGGATCTGGGGAGGGGAATAGGGGCGGGCAGAGCAGAGAGAGAATCTTCGCGGCTGCTCTTACCACATGCTGAGCGCTAGGCTGGCGGCTCGCACACCTGTTCCTTCATTCAGGCCTCACATCGACCGCTCGGTGCTGCAGCTGTTGGTGGAGGGGCTTTGGAATGAGATGGTCCTGGGGCTTGAACCGTGACTCCGAATGAGCTCATGTAAGCCGAGGGAAAGTCCTTCGTCTGCCTGAGCCTCAGTCTCCCCAGATGTGAAACGGGGGTACTAGTGAGAGTGGCGGGCTTGTGACAGAGGATTCCGTGAGCTGCTGGCTGTGAAGCTCAGAGTTTTCAGTGCACGTCATATGGTGTTCCTCAGGCTGGAGAGAAGCCTGGTCGGTGGCTCTAAAAGCTCCTGGGCCTGCCAGGGGCCTAGCTGGGATCTGAACACCAATACCCACCCCTGCCTCTCCCCCGAGAGACGAGCCAGAAGGAGACTCAAGGGCGGCCTCGGTGAGCAGGCAAGAGCTGATGCCTGGGAAAACAGCTGAGCTGCTGCGGGCTTGGCTGCCGGCAGCGGAGGAAGGAAGCCA